TTTTTACTTTTATCATCCCCGTCCAGACATGTGTTTCTATGTTAGCCTTACTCTGTGGTTTCTAATCCTTGTCTTCTTACTGTAGACCAGTTTGCCTAAAGCATCTCTTTTTTTTTTTTTCATATTCTTGTAAAATTTACTAAAACAGGTTCATATTTCATACCACATCTTGGCTTTCAAGGTCAGTAGTCATTAAAAACAAAATAAAACCCCACAGACTCACTGCCATCAAGTCAATTCTGACTCATGACAACGCTATAGGGCAGGACAAAATACCCTGCGAGTTTCTGAGCCTGTAACACTTCATGAGGATACAAAGCCTCCTCTTCTACGGAGTGGCTGGTGGTTTTAAACCGCTGACCTCAAGATTAGCAGCCCAGCGTATAACCTACGGCAGTCGTCATAAGCCTTGTATTAATTTCTTATGACTGCTGTAACAAATTTGCCCCTACCTCCGTGGCTTCAAACGCGTTTAATTTTACAGCTCTAGAACTCAGAAATGAAAAATGGGCCAATAGGACCATGCTGTCTCTGAAACATAGGGAAGACCCATCTCCTTGCCTTTTCCGGATTCTGGAGGCTGCTTGCTTTCCCTGGTTCGTGACTCTTCCCCCTGCAAAGTCAGCGTTGCATTCGTCCAACCTCAGAAGAGATTTCCCTCCCCTGACTTGGACGCTATGGCCTCACTCTGCTAAGGTCCCTTGTGATGACATTGGGCCTATGTGGACATGCCAGGATAACCTTCCCATCACCACACGTATGACCTCATCACAGCTGCAAAGACCCTTTTGCCACCCAAGGTAATAGATTCACAGGGTTTAGGACATCTTTTTTTAAAAATACTTTTAATGGGGGCTCTTAACATCTCTTAGAACATCTTTGGAGGACTGTTATTTCGTTTACCACGATTTTATTTTGCACTGTTTTTTTTTTAAAGTGATTTTATTTTGCACTGTTTCCTCTAAGAAAACTGCAGTGAGAGCCAAGCCAGTCTCCCTTTCACCCTAAAACATTTGCTGCCTCTCTGTCCTTTATGTGCGGACTGCCCTGTCGTCTGGTCCTTCAGCCAAACCAAGACATTTCAAGTTCTCCTTCCACGTAGCTTGCTTTATTCCCTAATATGTGTTCTCAGAACTCCTGTTTCACATAGAGATTGTACTTCATCTTCTTTCGGATGTTTTTAATGTTTAAAAAACATAGTTCATAGTTGTCTCTAGGTTTTGTCTAACCAGAAGATAGCCTTTTTCTCACGTTTTAAGGAGGAACTGTGTCTTCTTTGTATCTGTCGTCCTGTCTGGTCGAGTGTTAAGCACCTATTAAACATTAAGTAAGTATTTGGCAAGTGGGATGTTTGGAGTACGTCAGACATGTTTATGAATTACTGCAGGAATGTTTTCTGTTGGAAAGAACAGTTTCTATGGTGGAACTTAAGTTCACGGGGAGTGTGACCTCAGGTTACACTTGTCCTGATTCCTTTGTAGCTCCTCTTATGTCAGTCCTAGATGGAAAAACAAACCAAACCCCAAATTGAAAATAACACCATATCGCTGAAGTAAACACAAAACCTAACATAGTGTCTGGTTTGGGTTTTTGTTTTTACGAGTCATAGGGTGCCCTGTGTGTGGGTCCGCTTCAAGGCCGCAACTCTTTCCTCCTGTCTCCAGCGCACATGTTCACACCTCCCTACAGACAAATAACGGACCCTTTTAAACGGGGACCCTTGAAATCAACCACAGGTCATGCGTATGGAGAGAAAACCCTGCCCTGCCCTGCCAACTGCTGGGCTTACTTTCCATGCCTGGCTAGCTGCTTCAGTCCGCTCCACTCCCTCCTCACTGTTCCTAATGGTTTCAAGAGAGTATGCTGCTGGTTCATTTTTAAATGAATGGTTTTCATTTTTGCTATTACCAACTTTGGGCTTCAGTAAAACATTACATTCTCTTTGCTTTAATGAAGTACTCATTTTAGAAGGCCC